TTATATAGGATTTATTTATCAAGAGAATGGTAATCTTTTTTATGGTTCATGATAAAGCAACTAAAATAAATATGTCTATCTATATAAAAATAACAAATATTGTAATAGACATTAAGTTTTATTATTTGTTTTTTTTGAATAGAGATATTCAAAGTTTATTAGTCAAAGAAGACTATAAAGTTCATATTGATTAATACTTAAAAAAAATGTCAGCTCATTTTATGCTTCAAAATAAGGAACAATAATAATGAAAATAATTGAGTTTGAATGAATTAGTAAAAAGAATTGTTTATATTAAATAAATAAACAATTGAAAACTTTTAAAATAATCATACTTAAATTGAATGTCTTTTAGACAGTAAATTCATTGAGAAGATACAAAAAAATCTGAAAACTCATCTTCAAAGGTATCTTTTTGTTTATTCTCAGTTGCTTTTTGTTCGGTAGAGTTAAGTTGTTGTGGTATAGGTTGGTTGGTGTCATTAATTGGTTGAACTTTAGTCTCTTCCTGTTTTGTATTTTCTTGTTGATTTGTTTGTGCTGGGATTGATGTAAAATCATCAAAAGAAAAAATGTCATCAGAACTTTGGTTTGGCTTTGCTGGAGATGAAGAAAAATCTCCAAAATCAAATAATGGAGATGCTGATGTTTGATTTACTTTAGGAGGAATAGACTCTGACTGAGATGGTTTTGGTGAAAAGACATCAGTTGTTTCTTTTTGTACGTCTTTTTGTTGGTTAACAGGTTGTTCAAGAGGTTTTTCTGAAGATAAAGAGGATTCTGTAAAGTCACCAAAGTCGTCAAAATTTACTTCAGTAATAGAAGGTGGAGTTGGTTGGCGTTGTGGTGGTGTTAATTTTTCTTCTTTGATAAATGTTTTTTGGTTCATATCGTCTTTTGACTGACTCTCAATGCTGGACTGTGGAGAATGTAATGGTACAGCCTCAGGATTTTGTTCTTGGACACTTAAAGGTAGTTGTTGTGAAGTGCATGGCTTAATGTCTTCAAGATCAAATAGAGCCAAATAATCTTTTTTTGGAGGTTTTTTCTGATCATCTTTTTTTATTATATCTTGAGAAGTAATTGTTTTATAATCTTTTATTTCTGTTTCATCTTTTGTTATTACCTCATTTCCCTTAGTTTCTATTTCATCTTTTGTAGTTTCTATTTCGTCTTTTGTTGTTACCTCATTTTCCTTCGTTTCTGTTAGACTTTCAATACTATCAGTAACAAAACCTTCTTTTAATGGTTCTACTGATTCTTTTTGAATTATAGTTGGTAAGTCTCCTTGATTTTCTTCAATTAGATCCTGGTCCTTATCATTATTTTTTATGTCATTCTGTTTTAAAGTCTCATTAGATTTAGTGTGAATAATAAACTCATTTTCTTTTGGTCTCAAATCTTGAACTTTTACATCATCAACATCCATTAGCACAAACCCACAATCTTTACATTCTTTTGTTTCTTCAGTTTCATCTTCAATAACAAACCCATTGTCTTGTTCGAGTTCTTCTTTCGTAGTCACCAAACTAGGTTCTTCTTTTGGTTCTTCTTCATTAGAACTAAACATAAGAGTTTTCGATTTTTTTTCTTCTGTAGTTTCAGTTTCTGAAGCAGGAACTGATTCTTCGTTACTTTCTTCTCCAATTAAATCAAACATAATAACAGTATTTTGAGGTTGTTTTGGTTGGTTAGTATTAATACTAGATAATGTGTTATCAGCTTTCTTAACTTCTTGACTAGAAGTATTGTTCCATTCATTAAAGAAGCTCATCTTTTCTGTGGATGTCTTTTGGTCATCAACTGGTTTTGCCTCAACAAATTCTTCAAAGTCAAAGTCGTCAGTAGGAGTTTGTGTATTAACAAATTGAGGAACTGTGACTTGATGAGAAGAGTTTGGAGAAATAGGTTTTGTTGGATATGGGTGTAATGTGATTTGATTAGTAGAAGATGTTTTAGGAGGTGGCTGAGAAATAGTATTTGTTGGTTTAAATTGTTGTTGATTAACAGATGTGTCAATAGGTTTTGGGTGTTCTTGAACTGATGTGTTTTGAGAGAAGTCATCACTTAAGTAAAGGTCAAGATAATTAATTTTTGGTTTTGTTGCTGGTTTTTCTATAAGATCGTTTTGAGTTATTTTGGAAGATGATTGTTTATTTTCATTTTCATCTTCACTTTCAAAGCCAAAATCATCGAACACAGAGTCTTTATCTTTTTGTGGTTCTATAAGGGTTGTATTTTGACTTGAAGGAATAACAGTATTTTGACTAGACAACCTTTTTTGTCTGTTTTCTGAGACTATAGCAAACATATCATTTGTTGTATCTTTTTTTATTGGTTTTTGTTGTAAGATAGGCTGTTGCGATTGTTGAGTAGCTTGTTGACCAACAAAATCACTAAAATTATCGTCATCAAAGAAATTTGTTATTAATGATTGCTTTGGTTGTGATGGTTGCAAAGGAACAGCAACTTGGTGCTGATTAAGATAAGGGTTAAAAGTACTTTGTTGAAATTGAGGTTGTTGAATATATCCTCTACCAGAATATTGAATAGGTTGTTGATAAAAAGTAGAATGATGATATTGTTGTTGACTTTGTTGAAGGTACATATTGTATTGAGTATTATATAATGCACCAAGATTGTATTGTCGTTTTCCTTGTTGCATAAGAAGAAACAAACCAATAAATTATTTACAGATCTAATGAACTGAATTTAGTTCTTTCTAAAAATTTTCTAAAACGATATAAATAAAAAAGGAAATGATTAAGAATCAGTAATCCAATAACTTTTATGTGTTATAATACAATTTCATAAAGTTGTTTCAATCAATTTTAATGCTTTTGTAACTAATGCTGTTGGTGTATGTAAACAATTATCCATCCATCCAGCTTCAAGAAGATGTTTACAAGAAGGACAATAATGATGTTGTTGTACCCAATTAATGATACAATTATCACAAAAAGAATGTCCACAAGGAAGAGAGACATTTACATTTGTATCATAACAAATAGGACATATTTCATCTGTTTCATTAGACTCAATTGTTTGATTAAGTATTGGTTGTAATGCAAGATAAATATGAACTAAACGAGTTCTATTAATTCTTAATGTTTTAAATACATGATTATTTTTTGGAGGTGGGGTATATCGTACTTCATTATCCTTTGAATATTCAATTCTTCCTTGTGAAGAATTATATGTCACAGTCCATGATGTTTTAAGACGTTTTTGTTCTAACTAAGATATTAATCTCATTCTTTCTATTTATTAAAACCTCTTTTTACTAATCATTTAAATAAGTCAAACCATCAAAAAGTCTGGTGTAGGTGGTGCAGATGAATATTTAATTGTTGGGACTGTTTCGTCATAATAATATGTATTCCCTGATTCATCTATCCCCGCTTTCCAATGTTCTTTTAACATTGATGTATAAGAAATAGCAATATCATTATCTGCTAATGCGTAAACAACATACCGAATCCCAAGTAATTTTGAAGGAAATTTGGAAAAGAATACTGTAATAGTTGAACACATTCTATTAACATCATTAGAAATAACTGGTTTTGAAGGTTCAGCACCCATAAGAAAAAGATAAAGAAATAAAAAAAATAAGTTCTCTTTTTCCCCTTTTATTATTCAAAAGAATTTTTAACAAAATAATAAGAAAAAGTGAATAAAAAATTACAAAGTTTTATTGATACCATTGAAGGAAAAATAATCGTTTTACTGCAAAGTTTTCTTTATTTCCAGTAAACGCACTAACATCAATAGCATTTTCATACTCAAATTTAAATTCGGGATTTAATGATGAGTTGTGTTGGTTTAAAGGTGGACGTAATGTAAAACATTGATAAACATTATAAAATGAAGGGTCTTTTTCTTTGTCAGAATAGAATGAAATTGACCAATCAACACCTGGAGAATCTTGTCTAATTAACCATCTTGTTGGTCCTGCAAGTCTATTTCTATTTTCTAATGAAAATACAAACATACCAGGATCTTTTACTGTAACAAATACTTTCTTTGGTTTTTTAGGGAAAGTGCTATGATGAAACGAGCCAAATACTGCATTGTCGTCAGTGATAATAAGTCCCATAATATTTTTCTTTTCATATAATCGTTTTTGAACAGAATGACGAGTGAATTTATTTTTATTAGAATCATAAATGATTTGGACATGATTAAATCCTGTCCAATATTGAAGGGTCTGAAAATGTTTTGTCATTAAGGAAGTAAAGAATGTGTCATTGTATGTTAATTTGATATCTTCCATTAACTGAAATGATGTAGGTTGTCTAAGTTCATTTGTTTTTCTGGGATACGAAGATATAGTAACTCTTGTTGGTACTCCAGATGATAATTCATCTCTAGAAGCAAATGTTAAATTTCTTAACCTTCTTTGTTTTAGTGGTGAGACAGATCTTTGTGGAGTTACTGTATTAGCAAAAGGGTCAATAGTTTTTGTTTCATGTACTTGAGTTAATTTATCATGACTTTGCTGATTAGGTCTTTTAGAAAACTCAGAACTATCCTTTTTTTCTTTCTTAGTCTCATTAGGACATGAAGTTTTTGAGACAATACTTTTTCTTTTATATCCTGTTTTAGGGAAGTGTTCATCAATTTTAGACTTATCATCTATTTTTTCTTTTAATCCAATGCTTTCTTCAATTCGATTATTTTCCATATCCTTACTATTCTGTTTTTCATCTACTTTCATTGTCAAAATCTCTATTTTTTCTAATAGTCCATATAAAATACTTCTTATCTTAACAACTTCATATTCAGAAGTTAAATTATTGATTAATCGTTTGATATCACTCATTTCTTCTAATACTTTAAAAGTTTTTTCTATTCTTTTTAAAGAAAAAAAGAAATATAAAAAAAAATTTCATGAAAATATTAGACTAAATTTAGTTTAAAGTAAAAAGAGACTTTAATATCTATTTCAAACCAATCAATTACAAGAGTGCCGATTAGAAAGAACAGAATATGATGACTGTTTAATCAATTTTAGTATCTTGTTGTTTTATTTTAGATTTTTGACAACAAGATCTAATAGAATCAATCACACTTTGAATAGTGTTATTAATGAATTGCAATAAAATAACAAAAGTAAATTGGATTTTACCAGGGAGAGCATAAACAAAAATCATTCCTGGTATCCAAATAAATAAATAAACAGCTAATGCAACTGGATATTCTCTAAAGACAAATCTTTTCCATCCCATAAATCTAGTCATTTTAATTATATTGAAGTTAAGGCTTCTAAATATATAGAACATTAAATTAGCTGGAATTAAATAAGCTAAACTATAACAAGTTAAGTCAGTTGCTAAAAGCATTGTTGTACGAATAACTTTATCATTTATATTACCCATCATTTTATTATTTAATTCGATCCAAATAAATTCTACAAGACCAGCATATCCGAAGTATATAATTGTACCAAGTATTTGAATAACTAACTTTTTTAATGGAATTTGAAGGAATAAAATTTTTATAAGTAATGGAATAAATCCACTAAATATTATTGAAATTACAAAAGCATAAATAAGAGATATTCTTTTTTGTGTTTTAGAGATTTTATCAAAGAAATCAACTTCTGAAGAATCAACACCATCATAAATCCCAACAATTGTTGCTCCTACAACAATAACACAAATAAATTGAGGAATAGCAAAAAGTAATGTTTTAAATATAATTGGAATAGTTTCTTCCATTGGAAATTCAATTGTTTCATCTGCAAGAACTTCAACATTAACAAAAGGTTCAATATCAAGAGAAGTGGCATGTGTATTTTCTTTTTCAGTTTCTTCTTTTGTTTGTAATTCTATTGGTTTATCTGATTCTGGAAGTGGAGAAGAATTTAATTCTTTTGTTGGATTAATAGTAACTGCTTCGTGTTCTTGAATTTCTTCTTTTTTTTCTTCTTTTAAAAGAGAAGAAGAAGAGTTTGTTGATTCTTCGTTTTGAGGGAGAGGAGATGATTCTGAGTAATTCATATTTACCAATATAATTTTTTTAGATGAAGAATAAAACCATAGTAGGTCATTTTAAAGTATTAAATCAATTTGTATGTCATTTTAACTGGGGTTTTTTTATTAATTCATAAAAAAACATATTTTTATTTTATCTCATTGTTTTGTGTTTTTTAAAAATAAAAAACTTAAAAATAAAAAGAACTTAAAAAATTAACAAAAATGAAAATTAATAAATATGCTATTCTTGTTGATAACAATAAAGAAAAGAAAGACGTTGCTGAGATGATTTTATATCTTACAAAAAATAGAGTTTCAAAAACCCTTATTCGGGTTTATGATATTAGTGAAGAAAAAGGAATATTACAATATATAAAACAAAAAAAATTAGAATGTCCTCTTTTATTTTTATGGGGAAATCTTTATGGAAATCTTCAATTTGTAAAAGAACAAAACGAAAATGGGATCTTACGTTTAGCATTATTAAATAACCCAAATAAAAAGAGTAAAAAAAAAGGAGAAAAAAAGAATGGGAGTGAATTTAGTTTTAGTCCTCTTATTAAAGAAGAATATGATGAAACCCTTTCAAAAGAACAAACTGAAAGTAAAACAAAGTTACAAGAATCAACTAGCATTGATACTTCAAAACAATCAAATGATATAAAAACAACTGAAGAAAAACAAATATCATCAAATAATAATAATAATGTTGTTATTTCAAAATGTGAAAGTAATTCTACAAACAACGAACAACTTCAACAACAAGAAAGTCAAGAAAAACAAATATCTCAATTACAACCAACTAAAGAAACAGATCAGTCTAAAGAAAAAATAGAAGAAATAAAAGACCAAAGTTTACAAACAGACTTTAAAGAAAAATTGGTTAACGAAAAGGATATTAATAAAGAGTCTTTTGAGCAAAGTCTAATCAAATTAACTGAGTCATACACAAGTGATTCAACTGAAGAAACAAATCCAAAGGAAATAGTTATTATTGATGATTATGAAAATCAACAATCCGTTCTACAAGAAGATGAAATGATTGACCTTAATGTACCTCATCCTGAAGCACTTAATTTTGGTGATCGATGGTTGAATGCTTGTGAATGGGTAATTAGAAATATTAGTCAGTCATCTCCAGAAAGAAAAAAACATATGGATGAAATTATTTTAGAAAAACAACCAGATGATATTGATTATTATGTTATAAGAACAAATTGGTATTGGAGACATCAAATAAGAATTATGAGATTTGGCAAAGAACATTTTTATAGATTAGATGAAACATATCATGTTAAAGAATCATTTAGATATGAAGATGTTAAAGAAATTGTTCAAACAGATGAAGAACATCTTGTTATTAAATTCTTAAAAAATTCACAACCACAATATCTTCAGTCTAAACTTGTCCACCAAATAATTGTTACTTTAGTTAGTCATCTTACTCAAGATTATACAATTACCAGAATTAATTAATTATTTGATTTTTCTCTTTTTTGTACTTCTTAATTATGAATTTTTAGTTCTATTAATGTTTTGTTGGTTCATAAATGGCATTATTATTTAGCATTGGTATTTTTCTATGTTCTTTTAATTAATTATTAACGGGAGTTTCTGTAACACAATTCTCATCCAACAAGTTTTTTCTTCTTGAAAGATGAAATTTTGATTATTAGTTTTTTCTTTTATATTATTTTAATTCATTTTTTTGTGTTTTTAGAATCATTTATCAGAAAAGAAAAAGCGATATTAATATATATTCTATTTAACATATTATTTATTTTGAATCATTTAACAGTGTTTATAAAAATAACACAACAAATTTATATTAACACCAATTGTTATTTTATTAATATAAAATATGCTTCAACAATTTGCATTTTTAAGACTAAAAACAAAAATAAAACAATATTTTTTTACACTTCCAAAAATAAAGCATATTGTATTATCTTATCATTCATTTTTTTTAACTTAAACAAATTTAACTAATGTTTATTTTACAGACAATTAGGCAAAATTTGAATTTGTTTCATAGTAAACGAAAATAATTAAATATACAAAAACAAAAACATATTGCTAAATACAATTATGAGTCTAATCATTAAAAGTTAATTAAGTAATAATAAAAATGTTTTTATTGC